TTGACACTCAAAAATATTTTTTTATTTCTAGTGTTTACCAACCAATCTAGAAATTCCTGAAGAATGACAAGATGTAATGTTTAGGTAAGCATATTAAGAATATTTATCATATTCAGGAGATATTTAATTTGTGATGATATTAGACGACGGTCTTCTGATACATATATGAAGTACATCATAACGTCTTTCTGATGAATCAAAAGAATATATTATATATCTCATAATATTAAAAGTTACCTAATAAATATTCTGTTTCCAGGTTGATCTACATCCTAAAGCAATGTGACCAAACTCAACAGATCAAACAGGTAAGATTTTTTTAAATATAGGTAAATTTGTTTATTTCTTAAAAGGAAAAAGTTTTGCAAGGATTCAGGGTTAGGGAACCTATTCAATGGTTTTCGAATTTAATCGTTACCTTGCTATATTATATCAAACGAATAAATTTCTTAAAATAGCTAGTTGTTTTAAGGTTGACATTTGTTTGTACAATTTATTTTTTATTTAGCTATCATGAAACTCTACGGTTTTTATATTTATAAAAAAGGTATATGAATGTATAAATGATATATTAAAACATCTATCTTCTTTTCCAGATGTAAACTGTTTCTACAAAATCGTGTAGGTGTCAGGAATGGATGTCTTTGTGGATCCCCAATTATTGTAGAGTTCTAAAGGTAATTTTTAAACATTTATGTATAAAGATTTTAAATTTAAATTGATTGTTATAATAAAGTAAACTTGATAGATTTTAATGTAGCTGAAATGATTATAACATATACAAAACGATTTTCAATGAAGACACTTTTGTATAAGGCAGACTATGATTTTTTGTGAAGTAATTCAGTTATTAATTTATATAGTTAAATGTGTTTTCGATAATGGATTTCTTTTTCAGATTTATTCATGTATTGCTGATGGGTGATTCAATAAAAACTCTTCCACTTCAGCTGCTATATGGTATAGTTCTATGGCAAAAGGATTCTGTCCTCTTGTTTTCCACATTCACACAGAACTCTACACTGAGTAGTCCACAACTATATTGATTCAAATAATACTTTTATGTAATGTAATTGTATATGCGAAAAGATTATTAAATATTAAAAAAAATATGCTTGGTTTTATTATTCCTAGATGTTATTCTACATATTTTGGAAAGTTTCTATAAATTATAGCATGTCCACTTTGTGAGATTAAAAATATCGAATATATTTATTATAATCTATCACACAATTGAATGGCAGAAGCAATCAGAATGACTTTCGCAGCAGTAGTAAATTTAAAAACAAAAAGATGCCTTAATTTGACAGCTGCATTTTATTACCTACGAAATGTAAGATGAACAGCTATATCAGCTAAGAGCCAAAGATGAAAGAATTGTGCAAATGAAATGTGACACAAATATGGATGCATTGACTATGTGAGCACAGTCATAGAAGGCTGCAAAAGTGTGGAGAACTTGTGAAGAAGCCTTTCTTCAGGAGTGAATATCAACAGGCTGAATTTTAATAGCACCAAGTGTGAAGTAGAGGAAAAGTAATTTCTTTATGGTTATAATCCAAAGCAAAAATGTTAACTTTAAGCTGTCAAGACATCACTGTTGATTATGTAGATGCAGAAAAATCTAGGACAATGAATTTTAGGATCCTTAAAGTTGGTGTCATATTTCTTAATTCAGGTGAAATACCTTAACTCTGATACTTGGTCATAAGGCCTTTGGACGATAGTGCCATATCATTGTATGGATCTGCAAAGCCTAGTTTTGAGAAGAAACTAAATAAAAAAAATTGCAATTAATGTTTTTGAGCTCTTCTATTGTGTAGTAGAAGTAATGAATTTTGACAAGAGCTATGACCTTGAAAATAACAGGTAAACTTATGTACTGAATCGGCATAACTCATGGCTCTTGTTAAAATCCATTACCTCTACTTTCAATTTTTTTTCAACAGGATTCCAATTTAGTACTCTCAGCCTTATAAAAGTTTCCAAAAAATTAATATCGAATGAAGTTCCAACAAGCGAAATGAAAATCCTAATATTCAAGGGCATTGTGACCAGGTACATCTTACTGTTATGCAAATTAGTAATTAAAAAGGCAATATCGGCAAAACCAGCTTATTCAAATTATAGGTACCTACCTATTTTATTGAAGGATTTTAATTTATTACCCTTAGCATATGTGAAAGTTTTCAAGATATTTATATTTTCAGATTACAAATTGTTAGTGGGATATCAGGTAACAATTAAAAGGTCTTTAGAAAATAAAATTTTTATTTAAACTAATAATACAATTAAGTAATTTATCTATTGGTTGAATGGTATTGGTATGGTTTTTCGTCACACTCGTAAATTGTGTTTTTTCTTATTTTATCGATAGAACATATTTTACATCGTTTCCTGTCACATACTGATTACATTTCAATATTGTTAATGGTCTGACAACATTCCATTCTCTCTTGGTTGTATGTTCAGTCAATATATTTTGGAAATTTTTGTCAAGCCATTTATCAATCATTACTCCATTATTGCGCTTTGGTTTCTCCTTTGGATAGTTTTGCAATAACTATTATAAACGTTATCCATGTAAATGGCATGTTCCGAGTCGAGAAATCGTTTCGCTACTTCCAATACTACCTTGGTGAAATGTCCTTTTTCTGCTATCGTCGGGTCCTAAGCACCTGTGTAGACTGCGATGTTTTGGATAATACCAAAAGGTTCTGTTATAATAATATACAGTTTGATGCCGAATTTATTCTTGTTCTGCTTAATATACTGCTTAAAACTAAGTCTGCCTTTCCATAGTACCATGGATTCGTCTAGAGATAACTCCCTGGCTGGATAATATAGAGCAGCCATTTTATTATTAAAAAAATGAATGACTGGTATTATTTTATACAGCCGATCGGCAGGTACATCATTTGGTGTTATCGCATTGTGAGAGAAGTGTAAGCATCTCGCATTTTGGGAAAAACATTTCAAGTCATCTGCTCAAAAAATTTGTTTTCCAGTAATCCAGTATGGAAAATTAATCCAATAAACACCAAAAATTTTGGTACGGAAAGCAGTTTCCATCTAGAAATCCGGCTATGTTCCCGAGCACCAACTTCGGATAAAAATGTATTTTTTCTACTTTGTAATGTAGGTTTTTTAATTCCCGAAGGACCCGGTTGTTGTTCATCCATATTCGCACACTTTATACGATTCAAAAACAAAAAGCACTTTTCAATTATAGAAGGGTATATAAACACGCTCGTCAGAATACAACGTTCTTACTCAAGCACTAAAAGAATACTGACGTGTTTTAATTCGGGACTCCCGTTGGCTCGGATCTAAGTCATGAGCATACAGAGATAAACACAAACATATATGTATACTATTGATTGAAACAACAATAAAAACAAGGTGTAAAACAGTCAAACATTATTGATAAGATTATTCACAATAATAACCAAGTTTTACTAATGCTATTACAACTAAGAATAATAAAACTGATGACTAATGTGAAAATATAATGCTTTCGATCCAATAATAATGCGTTCATCCATTTTATTTTTATAGTTTTCAAAACTATTAAATTAAATGGATAATTGTTTCGTGATTTGTTTTTTTCATAATAAATTGACAATTTATTTGAAAACTACTAGATTTAAGCTAGATATTTAATTAACCAATTATAATCTTTCATTTATGTATTCTTATCGAAATTATGATTAGGTAAAATGGTGACTAGCAAATATAAAATAAAAAACTTACAACTAATTCTTAATTTAAAAAAAATATCCTTCACATCATTCATAATATTTTATCTTAATTTCCAAAATTATTTCTTTCCTCTTTCAAAAAGTCTATTTCTTGTTTTCTTTGACAAACATTGAGTATTTCTACCGGTTTTTTGTATGTTTCTTTACATTTTATTCCCACTACTAAATAGCAAAATCTTGTACAATGAAACTTTTTTAAACTTCTTATTTAATTTAAATATTATATTTATATGGGATTAAGCCACAATTTATTGGTTGTAATGAAAATTACATTTTTAACTAGCCAAAATTTGAAGTTTTGAAATCGTTCTCAAAAATTATATTTTGAACAACCTAAGAAAAACGACCAAGCATGGACCAAGATTATTTTCATAGATAAATAATATAATATTAGAAAGTTATTTTTATTGGTTATAATATAATATATGATGAGCATTGATATGTGATTGATATTCTTATTTAATCGGTAAAAGATACAGGTTAGGTTAGGAGAAACAAAAATGTCAAAATCTTAAAATCATCTGCGTAATGATGTATAGCGCATCTCGCATGGTGAAGGTAACAATTTAAGGTGGAACAATTTCCATTCTTAAAACCCAATCTTCAAAACATATGGCATGAAATATTGTTTTCAATTTTTGCAACAAATGTTAAACTTTCGTCACGTGATAACAGCTGCATGCGCAAGAACCATCGAGCAAAAAGATAAAAGAGGGAATCTAATCGTTATGAAAAGGAGACCAAAAAAGTGGCCTCTAATGGCGGACCATATCCGGAAATGCAAAGGCGCTAAATTTAAATTTTCCAACACTTATTAACAATAGCTATAAAATATTTTTCAGACGAGAAAGTTTTAATTAAATATTAACTATAATAGTCTAAAAAGTGGCACAATTGGTAAAAGATTTCAATATAAATAAAATTTCATGTGACAGTTGGGACAAACCACTAACTCAATGGAACAAACAATAACATAACCTAACTAAATTTGACTTCTTAAACAAGGAAAGAGACTGTCTATCCTTGTCTAAAGTGGCCTCTCAAGATGGCACTTCCTGTCTATGAATATGTTTACCCCCACTACCTTTACATCTCCCTCTTTTGTCTTATTGCTCGATGGCAAGAACATAGATACCGTAAGTTCTATATATTGTGGCCATGTCACGTTTAGGACAACTGTACAATTTAAACTAAAATATTAAGAGGAAAAAAGGGAAAATATGGAATAAAAAAATTAACATTGTCGAATAATTTATTTCTAAAAGAAATCGTTATGAACTAAAAAAACATTGTTTAATGGTGGTGTCGTAATAAAATAATAGACGCATCGTAAGCTCCGTATTCCAGTCTTATACAGTGTTGATATATCTGGTTGGCAGTACTGGCTATAAACATCGGATGCTTCACGTTATTTGATAAATCCAAGACTAATTTCATATCTTTCTGTAAATTGGTCAGAGACTGCTCTACATCGCGGAAGTTTTCTTGCTGCAACAAGCCGCATTTTCTTAGAAGATATAAACTGGACAAATTGGTACACTCTAATATGTCACATACATTTTTCATGCCCACACCGTTACGTTCTGCTAAATTTAGAGCTTCACATAGTGCAGCCAGGTTAACGCATTTTATTACTTGTAGTATCAAGTTAATTTTAGAGGCGTATCTGAAACAGAAAAGTGATTTTAAGAAACTGGTTTTCTAATTTGGATCGTGCAATTTTGAATATGTTGGCTTTTTAAAGAAGAAACACATGTGTCTTATTACTGTAGTTATTTAATTCGGTTTAATAATTAATGTCATTGCTGCCACTCCAGAAGATACATGAATCGCATCGCATAACATCCAAACCATCTCATAGACGAATTATTCAACCCCCCAATGGTTGACAGATGTCTAAAAAGACTTTGGCCAGAAGACCTAGCTGCTAGGTAAATTCCAGAGAGTCGTCAATGGACGGCACCTGCCACAAGCCAAGAACATACATCATATTTATTTATTACTGTATTAAAGTAGATTGTAAATTAGCAATAAATAAATAAATAAAAAATAAAATAAAAAGTGTAGCTGATATAATTTTAAACAGAAATGTTTATAAGCATTTTTTGTGTAGAATGAATCGTTCTTTTAGAAACAACGCCTGATGCGACCGTCGATTTTTGAATGTCAGTTACGCGCGCGAAATCAATGTTCAATAAAATTTGTATCAGCTGGACGGTAAAAATTCGGTTTCTTTTAATACAAAAATGTCCTATGGACAAAAATCAAAATGCGTTTTAAAGGCAAATGAGTGCAGTTTTTGTATTTTGCCGAGAATAAACTCAGTTTTTAGAAAGGTGTTAAATAAATTGATGTGGCGCGATTTTTGCCTTATTTTACGATTCTCGTGAGATCAGTGAAATTCATTCACATTGATTGACCAGTTGTAGTCAACTTTTCATTCTAAGAGATCAATCTTTAAAACCTATGACATGAAATTTCAATTTTGAGTTGTGTAACAAATATGAGACATTTGAAATATGAATAAAAAACGCAGTACATTACAAACGATCACACGCCATGCAAAATGCATTTAAGAAGACTGTTTTTGGTAAAGATTATTGCAGTCGTTTTGTTTTTTTGAAAAACGTTCTGTGTAATCGAAAAAAAAAGTTTTAAAATCATATTTCAAAAGCATTACATTTGTTGTTATAGTAAAAGCAATTTTTAATTGAAGATGATTACTTGGCAACATCGCACTTAACGATAACTTTTCAACGAAATCCTATTCCACTTATCAATTTTACAATTCTGACGATTCTGATTACGATATTCTCTGAACCACAGATAAAACGTCCAAAGAAAAAACCAGGCAAAAATAGTAAATCCAAATTTGTCTCAACTTGTAACAACATATATTCTTTCGTGCTCAGTAGCAATTCAACATCAGTCTGATTGATATTTTGACAATATAAAAGCCAACCATGTAGGCAAGTCATATATTGAAGCTTTTTCGCTCTTTTTGATAAAAAACTAATTGAGAGCATTCTATATTTTACAAATATTTATGCATCCCACAATAACCGTCACAATTTTGAAATGAATAACAGATTTAAAAAAAAATTATTAGCATATGTATATTATCTGGTTTACACTCTGCTTCAAGTTGATATGCATTGGTCAAAGGATGAGGATAAAGAAGTGCATATTATAAGAGAAAGCATGAGCCCACATAGATTTATATTTATAATTTATAACAGTGAAGAAACCTCCTTTCCTCTAGCAAATTTCCTTTAGCAGATGAAACCAGATTCGACAATATTGGCCACATTACAAAAAGAGACGATAGTGCAAAAATGTAGAGATGTGCAAAAGTAATAATATTTATTTATGTAAAAAGTGTAGAATGCATCTATCTACACCCCGAATGTTTCGAAAATTTTCACCTTAAAATTTAATTTACATTTAAGATACAATACATTTCTTTATTAAAAATTGTACTGTTTTCCTTGAAAATGAGAAAAAAATCATTTTGGTTGTAAATTAGTCCTAATTTATGTGTTTTTAATCCAATCTAATGAATTAATTGTCAAATTTCTCTTTGTATATTGAGCGGCCGTTAATGGTTTAATACTATATAAAGAATAAACTGGCCTCAAATTTACTTTACTTACCTCAAAACTATAAAGTTAATAATAAAATCTATTTAATAAATATATTCCCAAGAACATACTACGCCTATGCACATATGTATATAATCTGGAAGGAATAAACTAAGATATCATATTTCTCTCATTAACATTCTTTCTAAGAACGTAAATATATATAGACCAGCAAAATATTGATAAGTTTACCGATGTTTCAAACTATTCAATGAACTTGTCTCACTATACACTCGTGAATCGCACCAATTTATATCGTTACGGGGGCAAATTTATCTTACTTTTTCGCTTATTTACATGCACAAAGCATACACAATAAAAATGACCCCGGTAAGAAGTTACTGATGAAATTTTACATGGTTGCCGCTACCGTTTAGATCAATTTGTAGATTAGTCACCTTTAATTGAAAATTGTCCGACTATAAAACGCAAAACTAAAATTTCATGCTATAGCTTTTAAAGGTTAGGCTCTAGTAATTAAAACTTCATAGTGGCCAGTCAATGAAAGGGATATATTGTATTGATCTCGTGAGAATCATAAAAATGGCAAAAATCGCGCCACGTTTATTTATTTAACACCTGTATAAAATCTTAGTTTATTTGCTGCAAAATACAAAAACTGCATACAAAAGCTAAACTCTTTACTTTTAATCTTGAATCACTTGAATTCAAAGATATCGAATTTTTACCGTCGAGCTGATACAAATTTTATTGAACGGTCGCTTCAAGCGTTGTTTCTAAGAGAACTGTTCATTCTACACAAAAATGCTTATAAACATTTTTGTTTAAAACTAAAACACATTTTTTATTTGAAACATTTTTTTCTATGGTGTACAGATTCTGTGTAAATCGATTTTTTTTGCGTTTTTATCCACATACGAGGGCTGTTTTAGGGGGAAGCCCGGTGGTAAAGTGGTAAACTTTTTGCATATTATTTTGGATCCAAAAATTAATATTCTCGGCAAAATTCAGCTGGGACACTCGGACGACTGGAGTATTCTTATTGCATGCTTTAAAGATTCTGTTTTTGTTCAAATTTTGTAGCGTTAAAAGTTTTTTTGTTTAAATTGTTTAAAAAGATCTAGAAGATACATACCCAACTTCTCCTAAAAATATGACACTATTTCCTATAGCCTTAAAAAACGTAGGGCATTTAGAAAACAGTTCCTCATCACCGGCCGCTAGTGTAATAAAATCTCCATTGGCTGCTTCCGTTTTACTCCTTTGAATTTGAGCTTCCAAATATTTACCTCCTTTCTTTTCGATAACTGAATTCATATCTTTTGAAAATTCTGGACCTGTAGTAGTCATCTGAATTATGCCTGTGAATTTGTAGGATAACTTATTAGTCTAAACATACAGTACAAAAGAATATGTTAAAAAACAGATATAGAGTGATCTCTTGTCCAAATAAAATTAAATAAAATAAAATTTATTGGGTAACGGCCTAGTTACTTTGCGCCAGGCATTCCTTTTTCTTTTTGTTTGTTTTATAATTGTTTCAGTTAATAAAAGTATTAGAAATTCTATTCAAAAAAATAAAGTTGTATTGCATGTTGAATTCAGTATTAAAGTTTGTTGCAGTTTATTATTCTAAGATGTTTGATATTTTAAAAAGTGTAGCTTTGTTAAAACTTTTGTAAATGAATGTATATATTGTTATGCTATGTAAAATTGAAAATAATATTGGTTTGCTTAATATAATAATTCAAATAATTCGACTAATAGACTATAAAAGATATTTCGAAGAAATGAAAGTACATTATCCTGGATTACCTGTAGTAAACAAAATTTTAAAGATATGCATAAATTATTTTCTTTATAAAATATGTTCGAGTGAGCTTAGTGAAACCATGAACAATGCGATCGGGTTTTCCAAATGGACTTATACAGTGAATAAGACAATACAATATAATATTTAGAAAATATATTTCTGTTAGTTCTTGAGTAGCACAATCAATCAAATTGGATTTGGTCCATGGATATTTCTTATGGACGATAGAAACGCGGCGTTACCACGACACACACAAGCACAATTTAGGGTTGTATAATTTGTATTTTTGTTTCCACAGACATGAATTAAAGTTTTTTAAAGTAATTGACCAAAAGTGCCCATTCGAAACAAGAGATGAAAAGTAGGGAAAATGATTTTAATTAGATAAATAGTATTTACAAAAGATAATTTTATTTTATCTTATTTTAATTATAGTAACCAGTTTATTGTTTTCGGGAGCCATGAATCATAGAAATCAGTAGAAAAATATTGCTTGGTTAAATCATGCATTTTTGCCGCCTATTAAAGTTTTAAAAGCAAATAAACGGACTTGGAATGCGCATATCTAGTTACTAATTGCAACTTAAAATAATTCGATTTGCATATGTCAGCGATTTTATGTTGTTCTCTGACTACATAATGATAATAAGGCTTTTATTTAGTAGTTATTCTGACTTTACAGTTAAATGTTAAGTGAAAATGAAAATTCAAAAATTAAGCAAAGGGAATATCTTGGACATCCGTGCAAAAGAGAGTGTCTGAGAGTTTTGGCAACACTGATCTCCATAAGCGTAATGTTATTTTCTTAACTTGAAACAAAGAATAGTGATTTCTAAATCAGTAATTAAATCATTCCTAGCGAAATCACTTCCCATTACTAGCTTGTATATACATTCATGGGGAAAATGTATTGTAACAGTGCTATCAAATTTATCTATGTGATTAATTTGTTCATAAACAATTTTATAATGTATGTAATAGTTTTATTACAATGTCAGGTGATAAAGACACATTATAACATAACAAAAATGAATTCTAACCTTGAATCTGGAATGCAAAAGGTTTTTTTTTATCATACATTTATATTTATATAGATTTTGCAGCTACAGTCAGCGATGCCAACCCTACCGATTTTTCGGTAGATCTATTGATTTAGGGAAGTTATTTACTGATATACCGATTTTACAATCTTATCTACCGATTTTTATTATTATACTTCTATTATTTTCATGTTTGTTTGTATTGTGTAATATGTGACTTTTATTCTATATAAATATGTTCAATGGAAAAAATGATAATACTTCTGAAGGAAAATGTACAAATTTATTAAGAAGTTTTCAGCTGATGTTAAAATGATAATACAAACAAACAAATTCTTTCTTAAAACTATTTGGAAGTCCGCTGACACATCAAAACAATTATCAATGTGGGTGTCAATCTCGGATGTAGTCTAAACAAAATATTGAAATAATAACATAACACTGTGGCATGCTCGCCATATAGTCTTAGGATAATAAACTATTTAATCGGTCTTGGAAAGGATATTATTTATAATTACAGTTGTCATGCATCAAGTGAGAGATTTATCTCACACTCTGGCAAAGTGAAGAATATTCTCGGTAAATTTAATGAAAACAAAGCAGAGAAATAAATTAAGCACAGAAAGTATATCAGGCTTGTTACATACTAAAAAATTAATATGTAATAATTACTGCTGTATTTTCCCTATTGAAAAATAAATGTTATCCTACATGAATAAACATATTTTTTTTTTATTTTTCATCATCAACTGAAAATTAGATTAGTTTATAAATTTTTTTCATAATTGTTTAACTTTTTTGTAACGTAATTTTAACTGTTGTCTACCTTTTTTATTAAATAAATACCATTTTTTAAATTAACCCCCGTTTTTTTAAATCTGCCGATTTCTACCGAATTTTTTTGTATCAATCTACCTATTTCAGAAATTTTGGGTTGTCAACGCTGGCTACAGTTTAATTACTAAAATAAAGAATTAGTATATAACAAATACCTTTATTTTTTAAAGATACATCGTCTGGTTTATGTATACCAAAACTTTTTTCAAATAAAGCCCTCACTGCTTCTTTATCTGATAAACAAACTAGTATCACATCAGAATTTTGTAGAAGTGCTCGTGGAGTATAATAATGTGTTAATTTTTTCTTGAATTTGGGATCAAATTTGTTCATCAGTGACTCACATTTACCAATTGATCTATTCCAAATGTTAACCACATGACCAGAATGGATTAGGTTACTGGCAATACCTGCTCCTAAATTACCTGCAAAGTAAAACGAAATCAAAGTTTTACAACTATGTTGTCAAAATACATAATCTGCTGTAAAAATATTAGTGTATCACTTACCAATGCCAAGTACTCCAAAAACCAATGTTGAGGTAGTAATATTTGTATTTAGGGCTATTTTAGATTCATGATCTTCATCTGTACTTACACTTACAGATCTTGATCTAACCATTAGCTTTGCTCTCTTTTTCATTCTACTTTCACTCCTTTTAAGTTTCCTCTCATACTCGTGTATATTAAACTTTTCTTTAATTGCTACTTGGTACTTTGAATTCAATTTTTTACGTTTGAGGTGCGTTTCAGCCTCTTTTATTGCTTCTGCAAAATTAACATGTCCTTGTTCTTGTCTGTATTTATACCTGTTACCTTCATATGTACAGAGTCTTTTTCTAGATATCCAAGAATAATTCTTAGAGCCAAAAAAATATACCCAGTAATACTTTGTATTCGGATCTTTGGAAGGTTTTGGCACTTTAACATCTTTCAAAACTACACAGGGCCAATACGGAAACCCAACCATTTTCCCCCATGCAATATCACCTACATTTATTTCAGCCATGTTATAATAAAAAAAAACCATTGGAGTTTTATAAATATTAATCTAATTCAACTTATGAAGACACATAAACATAAAAACAAACAAAAAACAATAATTAACCAACAATCCAACATAATTTTGTTGTTTTGATTTCTTATCTGTCAAATAAAACTGTTTTAGGCGTAAAATGCAACCACCTTTACACTTATTTCTATGATTTTGTTTTTAAATATCCCATACACATTGTAAATGAGCGTTCAAGTTAAAATTCTTGTATGTACAACGTCTATAACGCCTATTATACTCGTCTAGGTTCATTGCTCGTACTTAAGTTGATTAAATTGATAGTATTCTCTTTGTCGTCTTTATAAATTTCGCTCTTTAAAAAAACTCTATCACGCTACGTTTCACAGAATAAGAAAGCAATTTGTTCCTTGTTCTGTGCCTGTGCTTGTGTTCTATAAATAAACAAAAAAGAATACATATTAATTAGCGTCACATCGGATTTATTACAGCTGCTATATGTGCTATATTTATGTACAGCAGCTAGTAAAGCTGTACAGCAGCTAGTTAAGCTGCTAAGTTATTCAGTGCCATAATCCATAGATACTTGTAAATATAAAATTTATGCATATAAAATCTCTTTGTGGGGTATGAGTAAAATAATTTAGATATCGTACTAATACTAACCGAAACTAAATGAGACAATGCCAACAGGAAAGAAATCGATTAACAAAAATTAGGTAATATAAAAAATAAAAATGCGCTACTGTTCGTTAGGAGCACAGAATAAGAATTAATTGTTTCTTATTTTGTGGTCGTAGATTCTATTTGCAGTTCTATGTTCTGTTCACGTAGAAAGTATTGCTGTCATCTGTCACTACTGTCAATAATCAGCTGTAAACTGTAATGGTTTTAAAATGCTGAATTCAAAACAATCCTTTCAAGAATGAAAAAAATTAGCATATATGTGTTTGTTTCATTAATTTTAGCATGTAGTTACATTATCGGCATTTTAAAGTTTTTGTCTGAAAATGAAGAGGATAGATGTGAAATGACATATATGTTTGAGTATCCTCAGTATGTGGTGAGTTGGGTTATCTTTTTATCATTTAATTCAAACAAATCAATCAAATTCACGTAAGTAAATATTTTAAGATATGATTTCATGTGCTCTATTTTAAGCACAACTATTGGCACAATTGCGGCAAGCATAAATTTTATGATCTGTAATTTTTTTTTAGAAAATTTCAAACAAAGCTGATAAAGAATTTAGGAAATATGGATTGTACGCTTATAGTGAAGGTAGACTCACTGAAAGAACGCGAAATATGTATTTTGATGGAATACCGGTACTTTTTATACCGGGAAATGCGGGATCGCATAAACAAGGTGAATATATTTTTTTAAAAACTGTTGGAAAATTATAGGTATTGGTCATTTTCTGGTAAATCTCTTGCTTGTCATCCAATGTTGATCTCTTTTTCATATAGGCTTGAACACAAGGAATTATGAAATAATAAATTAATCATTGTATTTTAGTTTTAAAACTTAAAGACTGTAAAAGATTAATAGATATAGCAGAAAATAGAGATATAATGTGTATGGTAACATAAAAGTTTGGAAAAATCGAAGAGACTCATTGAATAATATATGAGGGACTTCGACATTAATCTAATCTAAATAAGAAAATATATTTTGTAATAGTGTTGGCTGCCTGTATCTAAAAATTAAAGAAAACTAATGCTAGATCATCTGAACTATGTATAGACTGGCTAATATTACTTAACAATAAATTTCTAACACCAAATAACCTAATGCTAGTTTTCTTCAGATCTGCTTCATCTCTTAATCAGACCCTCTAACAGCAGTAAAAGTATGCAATATAGTGCATTTTTGGATAATTGTAATAAGTGTTATTAACCTGTCATTAAAGACAGGGATGTTCCCAGTCTACTGGAAAACTAGCTCTATTGCCCCAATACTAAAATCTGGGGATAATTCTCAAGTGAACAACTATTGGCCTATTAGCATTCTAAGTTGTATTCCCAAAGTTTTTGAGAACCTAGTCTGTGACTATTTATTTATTTATTTATTTATTTATATTCATTCCAACGGTAGAACCATTTACAATAAAATACAAAAAATAGTAAAAAGTAAAGATCATGTACAATAAACATCAAAACAATAACAAAGAAACAAGTAAACAGTTAAAATTTGTACATTAAAACAATATATCATATCACAAAATTTAAAAAAAGTATCAGTATCACATAGTAAGTATCACATATCTAGATTAATAGTCAGATTCTTAAGTTGTCTTTTAAAAGCATTAATGTTTATGCAGAAAGGATCCAATAGGAGGTCATTGCAAGAGCTGAGCATTCTTGACAGGGGAAAATGACAAGCATAATCAGTCCTATGAAAAGGAATATGAAAGAGTGCAGTGTGTCGAGTTCTATGCATTGTGTTTAAGTGTACATTGGCCAATAACGAGGGACAATTAATAACATTGTTCAGAATTTTAAACAAAAATAACATATCAGCTCTCAACCTGCGGTTCTTCAATGTATCAATGTTAAAATGAGACATTATTATAGAATAATCTATGAAATAATTTTCAGTATTTTTTATATTAATATGGGCTTTAAAAGCTAAAGATCTTAGAAACTTCCTCTGAACGCTCTCCAATCCATCAATGTATACTTGATGAAATGGGGACCAGACAACAGAGCAGTATTCAAGACCTGAAACTAGGTTCCCAGTAGACAAACAAGGCTAAATCAACCCTTTTATGTTAGACCCCATCGCAGAAACTATGGACTTAATTCATTCATTCATTCACATCTACACCAAGGTTTGCTAATCATTATTCCCACAGGTTGGATTGTTGGATGACAGTGTTGGATGGTTGAAGTATTCCAAAAGAATTTAAAGCTCAGCTTAAGAACTGTGTGTGATAGCTTGATGTCCTTGTGTTTTGTACATTCTTTGTTAATGTTTGTTATTTACTGTTCCAACTTTTATTTTTTGTATGATTAAAATTTTTAAATTTAATTTAAGTAGGTTACGTTAAGAATCAACTGTAATTTATCAATAATGTTTACATTGTATTTTATTTGGGCGATTGTCCTTTGATAAATAAATAAACATTGTCTCATAAGCTCTGAATATTAATTTTGGTGAAAGCACTAGCTTGTAATAACAATAACAATACTTTTTAGAATAAAACAATAAAAAAATAATACTTTATATGCATGTACTTATCTATATTTTGAATGCTTCATAAATAGCATCGCCAACTTCAAGTTTAAATATTAAAATAGGTTGCTAAATAGAATATTATTTTGACAACTTTCAGAAAGTACTTTTTTACTAGTTTGAGCTTGCTGACCTTATAACCTAACCCCCGTATGTGAAAGGCCAGACATTTCTGTTAGGGTTTATTACTCTAGCCTAAATGTTCCAGTTTTTAGGTACCAACCATTCAGCTTATCCTCTATCTCTTACTGCTTGACATACACCCAACATTGTGAGAGTAGAATTTCTTTTTAACATTCTTTTTTTGTAGTTCGCTCTCTATCCTCGGTAGCATTAAGAAAATGGCTGAATTCAAGGACATCTTACCATTTCGACTATTTTGCAGTTGATTTAAATGAGGAATATAGTGGCCTGTATGGCCCTTTACTTTTTGACCAGTTGCGTTATGTTAATGCTTCACTACATAGAGTTTTAGAGTTATATGAAGACAGGCAGCAACCTCCTGAATCTGTGGTTGTAGTTGGACATTCCATGGGTTAGTAAAACACTTAATTTTTCATTGAATGAGTGTTTATATTTTAATTATTTAAATTTTTAGGTGGAATTATTGCAATGAAACTGCTCTCTGAACTAGAACAACCCGAACTTATATCTGTATTAATTACCTTGGCATCTCCATTGAAAAGACCAGCATTGAGCTTAGACTATCACATGAACAAATTCTATGAAGGAATATTTGACGAGGATTTTAGTAAAACCACTGTTGTCAGTTTAGAAGGAGGATATAAGGATATTTTAATGCATCCACATTTTACTAAAAGAGAAAATAACGATATAATCCACGTTTCAGTAAGTCATTGTAATCATAAATACAGTACATTTTGAAGGAAGTAATAGTTTTACATAGAACTACATATTTGATTTTTAGACATCACACATTCCAATGTCTTGGACTGAGAGCAATCATGTACAAATACTGTGGTGTAAACAGGTTGTTATGGCTCTGAATAGAGCTTTATTTGATAGTGTTAATATGAAAACACGACTGATTTCAACAAATGCCACATATCGTAAACATGCATTCAAACATCATCTCATCAAGGTAAGAAAAACAAACTAAAATGTAAATTTAAGTATAATAATAGATTAGGTAACTGGATGACCAAAATTAGGCTCAAAATGAAAATAATAAAACGAAGAACAACAAATGCAAAAGCGATACAAGTAAATTATGAACCCACTTATAAGGCAACGCTTGGCAGATGAAATCAACAACGGATTAATGAATGTTAAAGAACAAATTTGCAAAATACTGAGACGGATAAAAAATGGTTAATAATAAGACAGAAATAGATAAAAGTCAAAAAGAAATTCTAATACTCAACCAGATATAAAAAGAAGCAATGGATGACGGAAGAAATTTTAGATTTAATGGAAGAAAGACGTCAATATAAAAACAAAGATAATCAGATGTACAAAAAGTGGATAAACAAATAAAATACAGAATTAAGAAAGCGAAAGAACGATGGTTATAAGAACAATGTGCAGAAATAGAAGAATACCAGAAGAGACATGATAGTTTTCACACACATAACAAATTAAAGAATTAACTCACAACAATAGAACAAGAAAACCGGGAATACTGAAAGATGTAAATGGGAAACTTGTGTTGAATACTAACTACAAATTAAAGAGATGGACAGAATACATCAATGAACTGTTCAAAGACAATAGAACAGAGCAGATGGAGATAGAAGTAGAAGAGGATATGGTTTTAAAGATATTAAAAGAGGAAATTAAAATGGCATTAAAAAACAGCAAAAATGGTAAAGCAGTAGGTCCAGATCAAATCCCTATAGAAATCTTAAAATGCATAAATTACCTTAGACATTACAGTAGACTTATTTAACTCAGTATACAAAACAGGACACATACCGAAACAGTGGTTACTCTCCACCTTTTGTGTTATCCCTAAAAATACAAACGCTAAATATTGCAGTGAATACAGAACAATATCACTAATAAGTCACATTCTCAAATTATTCCTGAAAATAATACATGGTCATATAAATAAAAAACTGGAAGAAGGAATAGATGATGGTCAGTTTGGGTTCAGAAACGGACTAGGAACCAGAGAACCGTTATTTGCTTTTAATGTGTTAGCTCAAAGATGCATGGATATGAATGTTGATGTGCATGTTTGATACATTGATTTTGAAAAAGCATTTGACAAAGTAAGACATGAAAAATTAGTCCAAATTCTAAAGACAAAAAACATAGACCATAGGGACTTACGAATAATAACAAACCTGTACTGGTATCAAAGAGCACAAAGCTTAATAGATAACGAACCCGTCCAGAAATTGAAATCAGAGAGGAGTTAGGAAGAGATGTATTATGTCCCCATTACTATTTAATGTATATAGTGAAGCCATTTTTGAAGAAGCATTACTATCTCAAAGTGAAGGAATAACAATTAACGGAAGATCTATTAACAAGCAGATGACACTGTGATTATGGCAAGCTCTGCTGAACAACTCCAATTACTGCTAAACAAGACAAACAGTTCGTAAAAAGGACAAAAAGATAAAAAAGACCAAATACATGATAATAATAAAGAAAACAAATATACCAACAAACATACATTTGGGAAATGTACTGATAGAAAGGGTTGATAAATACAAATACCTAGGAACCTGGATTTCAGACAATAATGATCAAACAACCGAAATAAGAGCCAGGATAGAAATAGCAAGAAATGTATTTGTAAAAATGAAAACAATTCTCTGCAACAAAGACCTTAGATTAGAACTGAGAGTAAGAGCACTGAGATGCTAGGTGTTTTCGATACTGCATTATGGACTTGAAAGCTGGACATTGAAACAAGAACACATAAATAAGTTATAATCCTTTGAAATGTGATGTTACAGGAGGATGCTTAGAATAGCATGGACATAAAAGAAAACTAACACGGAAGTACAGTAAAACCTCCGTTAACCGAAATAATTGGGGGGAAGGCCGTTTCGGATAACAAGAATTTCGGTTAAAAATAACATTGTTTTTTTTTAAACATTTTTAACATTTAATATTCTTAGTTAAAATATTGGTATTGAAAAAATACTATGCGATGATTTCGTAATGTTTTCTAATAAGTAAATACAGAATAACGTAATAAAATTAAGGACAATGAACAAGTTTAACATGATTTTTTAAAGAAATCTTCTATTTTCTTTTACGTTATCGTTTGATAACGATGTTTTGCAGCTATATATCTCCATCGTTCATTTGCAGAACGTCGTCAGTTTGCCTCATTTCATCATTCGACGAAACGTAAAGCAATCTGAAAAGGACAAAACTTTATACAATGACAACAAAAATTAAGAACCTACTCGTGTCCCTATCTAATTAGGCCTACTGTATAAAATTCTTATCCTTAAGGCATTGAAAATCTCATCGATAGTCTCATGCTGCCTGTTGTCTGTTGGGTCGTCATCTTCGTCTTCTGATACGCTCAGGTTGTTAGGATGAAGAACCATATCAATGATGACCTGGTCGATGAATTCACTTTCTGAGTCATCATCTGCTAACCACTCACGTATCTCTTCTTAGTTAATTTCGTCACATCCCGGCAAATTTTTTGTTAAAGGTTTAATTTCTTCTGTCGTTTCTTTACCAGTTTCTTCTTCAGGATCGTCAATCAAAATCCTATCAAAATGTTAGTTCCAGCATTTTTCCAAAGCTGAAGATTTGATCTTGCCCAGAACTCAATTACTTTTTATTGAGGAAATTATTTAAACTGTCAGCCGTTTCGGTTAAACGATGTTTCGGTTAAAAAGGTTTCGGTTAAGGGAGGTTTTACTGTATTGCGAGAACTGGGCAAAGAATTTGAAATAAGAAACACAATAAAAATAAGAAAGTTACATTATCTGGGACACGTAATAAGGGGACAGCGATATGAAGTGCTAAGGCTGATAATACAGGGAAAGATAAGAGGGGGAAAGAGTATAGGAAGAAGGAGAGTGTCATATTTGAAGAATTTAAGTGGCTGGTTTAAATGCAGTTCTATAGCACTCTTCAGAGCAGCAGTACATAGAGTAAAGATAGTGATGATGATATTCAACCTCCTATTGGGAGACGGCATTTAAAGAAGAAGAACTGGATGTGCGATAATAAAGAAGAATTTGGATAACATGAATCTGTACAATCAAATCAAATATGGATCATATGGCAGTTCTTTGTTATTTTCTACTGGCAGCAGCTAAAATTCTCGCCCTTCCACAATAGTATATATCAAACAAATACAACAATAAGGTGAAAACATGTTTTTTCTTCATATTTTGGCAGATTTAGCGTATGGCAATTTGATACACAACATTATTCACATATATGTTACAATCTAACATCTAATGTATTAATATATTCAATCGACGCTGGTGTTGCAGAGGCGAAGTCTAGAGGATCTCCATAATACTTCCTCCTCCTCCGAGGGCATTCGGCAATAATTTTGGCAGACTATAAGACTGACGAAGAGAAGTATCATAGCACGTTTATGTTTTAGGAACTACATGCTTATATTTTTCATATGTTTCGTTAAAAAAATGTGATTAATTTTGGTATTTCTTGTTGATTTTGTTCTAGAATAGTGGAACAAAAGTTAAAGACCGCGAACAGTATTCTAAATTGGTCACCATTAATACAAAAGGCAAATGGATAGATGATATACGTAAAACGTATTCGATAGACCACGCACGCGGACTCAACGAACCTCACTGGAATATGGTCGCGCTATCTGACCTTCCTGGTTACGAGATTTTGTCTGTATTGGCAGTTAACTTGGAAGTTACTGATTGGATCTTCGCATGCAATGCTTACTATATCAAACAAACTTCTCGAGCTTGGTAAGTAGATCTATTATATAAAAATGAATCTCTATTATTTCATGTCATAACGTGAGAATGAGTTTTGTGGAAATTTAATACAAAATCAGTGCAAACTCGTTACTTGGAGTTTTTTGGGGTCGTTGAACATTAATATCATGTCGGCGATGATCTGCGAGGCACCTTTTTACGGTTTTGTTTATTAGTGATGGGGAGGAAGAATTTTTGTTGCGTGATCTTCCGGGTTTAATCTATCCACTCTCAGTCTCTGTACAAAAAGGGTGTACATATGTGGGAAATTATTAGTATAATTTCCGTGTATGTGGACTGTATTATATAGGATGGTTCAATAAAATTAGGATAAGTAGTAAAAGGTATACAGACAATACCAAATTAAGTTTATATAAAGTCTTACCAATATTTCTGCTCCACACTCTCACGGTTGTTTCCGGTTTTCACTCGTGGTTATTCTTCACCCGCGAAATCTGTCCGATGCACCGGTTTCTGAACAAGTGTTTCGCACTTCTTCTTCTTCACGTGCCATCTCCGCTACGAAGGTTGGCTATCATCATGGCAATTTTGACCCTGGAGGCTGCCGCTCGGAACAATTGTATGGAAGTGCAAGCAAACCACTCCCTGAGGTTTCTCAACCACGACATTCTTCTCCTACCTATGCTGCGCCTACCTTCAATCTTTCCTTGCATAATTAGTTGTAACAGTTGATATTTATTCCCACGTGTAATATGTCCCAGGTATTGTAGTTTCCTCATTTTAACACTCAATACGACCTCCTTTTGTTTGTTCATCCTGTCTAATACAACTTGGTTAGTTATCTTATCCTTCCAGGAGATTTTTAACATTCTTCGGTACGCCCACATCTCAAATGCCTCCAGCTTACCCATACATTGCTTATTTAGTGTCCACGCCTCCACCCCATACAACAGGACCGAGAAAACATAACATTTAAGCATTCGTATTTTCAGCTTTAGGCTTAGGTTACGGCTACACAACATTTGTTTCATATTGTTAAAGGCACTGCGGGCTTTCTCTATTCTTATTCTTATTTCTCTGGTGTATTCGTTTGACTCGTTAATATTTGTTCCGAGGTAATTGTAATTTTGTACTCGTTCAATGAGATTCTGTCCTACATGTAAGTTGATATTATTGATACGTTTCTTTGTAATTATCATGAATTTGGTCTTCTTTGTATTCAGTGACAGACCAAATTCTTCACTTGCTTCTACCACTTTGTTTAGTAATCTCTGTAGGTCTTCAATATTTTCTGCTATGAGCGCGGTATCATCAGCATATCGGATATTGCAAATGGGGTGACCGTTGATCTTTATTCCGGCTTTTTCGTTCATAAGAGCTTTTTTAATAACTTCTTCCGCGTAGACATTGAACAAGGTTGGAGACAACACACAGCCCTGCCGAACACCTCTTTTGATCTGTATTCTATCTGATATCGAGCTGTTAATTCGTACTGTAGCTTCTTGTTTGTAGTATAGATTCCTTATCACTCGCATGTCCCTTGTATCAATATTTTTATTTTCCAGTATTTGCATCAGTGGCCTATGTTTTACTGTATCAAATGCTTTGTTATAGTCTAGGAAACACACAAATATGTCCTGATTTACGTCTAAGCATCGTTGTGTTAGAACATTAAAAGCAAACAGTGCCTCTCTAGTTCCTAGTCCGTCTCTAAAGCCAAATTGAGAGGGTCCGATGTCAACTTCCAATTTTTTATATATTCTCCGATGAATGATTTTTAAGAAGACCTTTAATATATGACACATGAGACTGATGGTGCGATGTTCCGAGCATTGTCTCGCATTAGACTTTTTGGGTATGGCTATTATTGTTGTTACTAGCCATTCATTAGGTATGATACCAGATTTGTAAATGCTGTTAAATAGTTCCACGATCTTTATTAAGTTGTTGCCTTTGATGAGTTTAATTATGTCTATTGGTAGTTCATCTGGGCCTGTAGCCTTCCCCGACCTCATTTCTTTAATCGTATATTCCACTTCATCTCTTGTTATTTCTGGTCCTGTGTCACTGTTTATGTATTCGTTATCTACATTGTCTCTTTGATCTTTAAACAGTTGTTCTATATACTGTTTCCAGACTCTTAATTTTTCTTCTGTGTCCATAATAATGTTTCCACTCTCGTCTACTAATATGTTGTGTCTGTTACTTTGTCTCCTCGTCAACTCTTTGATCTTCCGATGTGCATTAAAGCTGTCGTGTTTATTTTGTAGTTGTTCGATTTCTTCCCATTTTTCCCCGTACCAGTTTTCTTTAGCTGTGCGTATTTTTAGACGAATTTCTTTTTGTATCTCTTTATACTTCTGGTTCGTTTTTGTTTTTCTGTTTTCTTCTTTCATCCATTAAGTTCAGTATCTCATCTGTCATCCATTCTTTTTTATATTCTTTACTTTTATGGAGGTGACTTATGCTTGGTTTCATTAACGCTGTTTTAATGCCTGTCCAATTCTCATTGATGTTAACTTTTGTGTTGTCTTTTATGGGTTGTATCTTTGTTACTGCTTCATCAATTTCTTGTATCATCTGTTCTCTTACTTCTGGTTTTCGTAATTTGTTGATATCAACTGCTTTTTTGGGGGTTGTGCTATTAATTTCGCACTAATATTTGTTTCGCACTAATATCACGCTATAGAGCACACTTTGTCTGTACACGATTTAATACAGTATTTTCGGTATTTCTCGGGTAACTAAGGCGGGAAAGAGGTAATTACAATAGAAGAACAAGCCGAGAATGCAAAAAGGCACGACTCACCTTGGCCGTAGTCAGATCAAGAGAGTGGACGTCTGGCCCTAGCGATGGCCAAACTAAGAGAAGAGTCTTTCTTCTTTGCTATCTTAACACTGTCTGTATTTCTTAAGGGGGGGGTTGAACTGGAATAGGAAGGGTTATACTAAGGTATTGTGATAGGTAATGTATTGTGAAGGTAAAATTGTGATATAAGGATAGTTAAAAATACAGCGAAAAATGACATGATTTTTCGCATGTGAAAAAATTGAACAGTCTCCACTCAAGTTTTTTTTTTGTTTATCCATTATTTTTCACTCTAGCGATGTGTTCTCATTTAATTTTAGCTATGTGTTTTATAATTTCCTTTACATCACTTCTACGAATTTCTTCATTTCCCTCCCCATCTCTCAACGTTATGCCCAATAATGATCCTTCCATTCTTTGGTGCGCCATTTGAAATTTACGTGCAGATGTTCTTATGAGAGTAAGTGTCTTTGCGCCATATATAAGAAAAGATGGGCCACCTTGAATCGAATAACGGAGCTGGGAAACAATACACAGTTATATCAATTGTTTTATTCGACTTCATGAGTGTAAACAAACATAAGTTGACCACAATTAATCTAGACTTAACATATTATATGTATCTCTATTCTAACTTCATTTTAGCCAAGAAGGCTTTCATCTGAGCCACAAATCAGAAATAGCTCCTTCGGTTAAGTACAAAAGGAGATTTTTACACATCAATATGAAACATCTGAAGCAGTACCGGAATGACCTATCCCACATAGTTTTCAGAGCGCTGCCGACAAACGAGCCTGTAAGTAGAATGTTATATCATGGACGTATAAACATAGATGGACACAGCAATAAGATACCTTTAACACACAATGTTTTGAAGCTTCGATAGAATGTGATGCTTCCGCAATGAGTATAAGCGTGCTTGAATTTTTACTCGCGGGTAATTATTCAGATTTTAAAAATTGGAAGTACCTAGTAATAATGTATAAAAACACGTTCAAAGAATTAAAAAAAAACGAGAATTTAACTATTAACAAATCACGTCTTTATAGAAAAATTAAAATACAATTTTATTATATCTTATTGAATACATTAATGAACATGAATAAACCCAATGGTACGCCTATTAAAATGTAAACAAACACGCTTTTTCATTTCCTCATCTTAAATAATGTAATTTGTATGTACTTACAAATGAAATGAGAGACCGGGATGTAAATATTTCGTTTATTTTATTTCACTTTTCACAAATATCACTCAAAATACAGCCAAAATTATCTAAAAACAAATTTTCCTTATTTCCTCAATCGTTGTAAACAAACATGGAATAGCATTTGAAGTTTGACGTAGAACCGTAAAACAGAGAAATGTAAACAACCGTTGCCATTTATAAATAGTTTTCAGTGCTTCTAAATATAAAATAATTGATTGATATCTATTATACGCTATTATTAAATGATAATGCACACTATGTGCACACTTGATATTTTGATTACAATTAGATATATTAATATAACCAATAAATTATTATTTTGGTTTGATAGCACCTGTAGAGTATAAAATACGGAGTAATATTTTCAGCGACTCGCGAATAAGAAATTTTAATAAAAAAACGTGACAACAGTTGGAGGTGCTGAGAATGTGACATATTCAAATAATTTTGACTTCACAATTTTATGTAAATAACTGAGTCAATCTGTGTTTTATCAGTTCATGGTTATTATACACTATTATCTGATGGTTTTTGTCGCGACTTTAGTAAGTTGTAAAAATGTTTTACACAGTTTTTTGTGATACGTATTTAAAATTGTGTTTTAAGTATGTTGTTTACGAAAATCATAAAAATATACTTATGTTTGGGAGTTTGACTAATCTAGGTATCTGACCTTTTGATAAACTCTTGCTGCAAGTAAACAGTTCTTCAACTTATGGTCCATACCATGTGTACTAGCTCTTCATAAACATCAAAACCAAAAAATAAGCATATCTGTCAACGATAACACAGCGGCGGCTCGTGGCCTAAAAAAGTGGTGAAGACGAGGAAACCTTGCTGGAGCCAAAAGGAGTTTTGGTACCTACGTCGCGCCCAAATCTCATTAAAAATTCGTTAAAAAAATGTAGAGTTTAGGGCTCTAATAATTTGAAAACAGTTTTTTAGGGCACTTATACTAGATACGATTCGTTCTGCTTGCCTGGAGTATTTTAATTCTGAACCTTCGACATT